CCCCCCCCGGGTAAAAAAAACTGTATTTTGCTGTTGAGCTGAACATATTTCAGCTTTGGCCCAAGAATCAAAGTTGGCAAATGTTTTGTTGTTAACGTCGGCTGTTACTTCTTTGATATTGATGAAATTGGTCCAGTCTAATTGTACAATCTTCAAAGAAATTTGATTTTGGATTGATACTTGGTGATTTCTTGTTTTTATTAGGGTGATCATTTGAACTATTAAGGAGGTCTTCACTAGAATCTCCTTTAAACCGTTACTTGAATGAAATTACCTCTTGTGAAATAATATTGAATATTTGATCCTTATTTGCCAACCATACATTGTCTTACCAAAATCTAATTCTCTCTCGATATGTTTCTTAAAAATATGATTCGAGTAGATTCTGAACGCAAAAAATCTTCCATTGGTAGACGATTGTGTTTTTCACGTATTTTGTTACTCATGTTAGTATTTTCACTTTTGATATCTCCCAAGTCTTGTCACCCCCTGAACTCTAAACTGAACCTCTTCAATAACCAGCATCCAACTCCTGCTCCGTAATGTATTTTCTTGTTGAATATAAAATAACATGGAGTTAAGGCTGTAGGTGTGTCTTGCTTTCCATCATTTGTTATTGAACAGAAAGATAAAGAAAAGTAGTAAAGTGTTAACTTCAAATTAAATCGCGAGTGCTCTTCCATTATATCCCACCAATCAACCCAGAGAAAAAAGAAGTGCATATCTCTTTTTATCTAAGAAATACTACTTAAGATCTCTATCTTCAGTAAGCTATTTAAATGAAGAAAACAAATTTAGGAATTTATTGTTTGATATTAATGGACTAAACAAAAGAAGAAATGAAAAATGAAAAAGGCGATAAGGGACAAAAAAAGGTGGATAGGAAGCTTACTGATTTACTACATTCACATATCAGAGCCAGGTTTCGATCCTGGGACCTGTGGGTTATGGGCCCACCACGCTTCCGCTGCGCCACTCTGATTATTGATATCGAAATTGCTTCATTTTTTTTTATATATATATATTGATTATAACTTTTGATGCCTTGTCATTTACTTTTTATACTCCCTTACTCTTGAGCCCATTTGGATTAGCTGATTGTAAATAGCTGATAAACTTGTAGTGTCGAAAAATTTTTTTAAATGCTAAAACTGATTTTTAAAATAAGCATTTACGTGTTTGGATAGAAGTGTTGAAATTGATAATAAGCAGTTGATGTGTTTGATTAAAAAATGCTGATAAGCTATTCTTTTGTTAAAATGACTAAAATACCCTTGAATCTTTTTCAAAAGATTATAAATTAAAATTTTTTTTGTAAAGAAAAGAATTAATAACGAATATGGAATGAAGAGAAAGTTAAGAAATTTATTTTGGGAAAAGTATTTTGTGAATTAGAAAATATTATTAAGGATAAATTAGTAAAAGTGTTGGTCAAACTAAAAGTGCTTATAAGTTGAAAAACCATAAGTTGGGGGTGACCGGCTTATGACTTATGACTGATTTTAGCTTATAAGCACTTTGAGTGTTTACCAAACGCATAGATAAGCCAAAAGGTGCTTAGTTTGACTAGCTTATAAGCTTAGCCAAACACCCTGTTAATTCTTAAGCATTATTTTGTAACTAACTATTTTGCAGAATTAGTGAACGCTTCTTGCTAAATAACTCAAATCTTTTACTATAATCCTCTTTCAATATGTATCAAAGAGGATAAAGATAGTTCCTTTGATGCAGCCGGTGAAAGAATTTCATAAAGGGATAAGATTTAAACAGCTTTGAGGTGAAGTCTGCTGATACCCTTTTGTTCCTTCTTAGTATTTCTTGTTTAATAATTTTGCTTAACTGGTTTCTGGTCTTGAATGAGGAAGCCTTGTTGATAAGGGAAGAGGAAATAGGAGCTCAAAATCTTCATTATCACTCTCGTTTGTTATACTTAGTAATTAACACTAATTGCTTTTTGACATAAAAGTGACATTTTTATTCTTATTCTATGTGAAACTTTGGACCTCAATACAGCGTTATTCATATAGATTTACTTTATATAGCCGAGTAGTTTAGGGCTGAGGGTAGTTGATTGATTGGTTGATTATATTTGGCAACATCTCTGCACCAGTACGCCTATGGTTATACCAATGTCTACCAAAAGCAAAATTCATTTTTACTTACCCAGAAAACAAAGCTCTAATTTTTGCTTGTATACTATGTTTATGAAAAATGGGATGCAAATGTAGTCTTTTGAGCTTACTGTCTAAATCGGATTTTGAAGGTTGACTTTAAAGGATGTGTGTCTGTAAATTTTGTTGCTAATAAGCTCCCTAAAATTGTGTATCCATTAGATATATCTGTGTTTTCTCTTTCTTTATTTGATGAGGTCAGATTTCTAGATATGTGTCTTTCATGTAAAATGGTTGTTTCGTCACTTAGCAGGTTTCATTTGGCAAGCCTTACAGTTTGTGTTTTCTAGCCTGAGATTGTTTACAGAATCTATGTATTATGAACTCTTTGTCGATGAGAACTAATTGAAAGTGAGACACGGAATCTTGTGTTATGCATGTCTTGCTTCTTATGGACGCGTTATCGTCTTGCTTTATCAGTTTTCTTTATCTAGTTTGTCAATAAAAAGAAGAAAAGCAAATGTGTGATCTAGAGATGTGACTTCATAAGTTGTTTTATAATTCTTCTTTAATTTGGTGGATACATTTGCAGAACTCAGCTGCCTGAATTATCTGCTGTTTACTGACCTTCATTTGGCATTGACACTCAGAACGGGGTAATGGCTGTTTGTGGTTCAAGAACTTCTCATATTGGTCATTTTGTTGGTAATATCACTGCTAGGCGCTTGCAATATGGTTTGTCAATGAACTGTACTGTTTCTTACAACAAAAGAGGCTTTGAGAAAGTTAGAAAAATCAACAGGAGTTTGAGAAATAAAGGACATCCCAACAATATGCTTTTCCAATACTTCACGACTCATGTTACAAAGAGGTGGGCCGATCCCAAATCATACATAGGATTTGAATCAGAAGGTTTACACAACTTATCCCCTGCGTGTTTCTCTTCTGGAACTGCTTCTGCTCCTGGTGTGTCTTCAGATAATGCGAAGGGCGAGGAGCAAGTTGCTAATACTGCTGTTGATTCTTCTGAAGCAAAGATCCCCTTGAAGCTAAATTCAGGATCTTTTTACCTGCCTCATCCGGCAAAAGCAAAGACAGGCGGAGAGGATGCTCATTTTATGTGTACCCTTACACAAGCTATTGGTGTAGCTGATGGTGTTGGTGGATGGGCTGATCTTGGTATTGATGCTGGGCTGTATGCCCGCGAGTTAATGTCTAACTCTTTAGCTGCAATTCAGGAGGAACCAAAAGGCTCCATAGACTTAATCAGGGCACTGGATAAAGCTTATGTGAGAACAAAAGCAAAAGGTTCTTCTACTGCTTGTATTGTTGCACTCACCGATGAGGGTCTTTATGCAGTTAATTTAGGAGATAGCGGATTTATGTTGGTTAGACATGGATATGCCGCATTTAAATCCCCTGCACAACAACATGGTTTTAATTTTCCTTATCAACTAGACTGCAATAATGCTGGTGATTCACCTAGCTCGGCCATGGTGTTTAAAATTGCTGTTGCACCTGGAGATGTCTTAATTGCTGGTACAGATGGGCTTTTTGATAACTTGTATGACGAAGATATCAAAGGAGTTGTACTTCAGTCCGTGGAAGCCGGGTTAGGGCCTCAAATGACTGCTCAGAGGATAGCAGAACTGGCACAACAAAGAGCAATGGATCCTAAAAAGTCGTCGCCTTTCTCTGATGGCGCCCAAGAGGCTGGATTTGAGTACCATGGTGGGAAGCTGGACGACATAACTGTAGTTGTTTCTTACGTAACAAATAATGAAAATTCATAACATGCTGGAATTTGGGAGACATGGAGAACTGGATCTTGTTTGTTGCGACCAGCTTGGTTTATAGCTTGTAGTTTGAAGCAGGATCAACAGCTGGTGGAGAGTCAGACATTGTAGTACCGGAAATCAGAGGCATCAGTTAGACTATTTGCGATTTGATTTGTTTGGAGAACAAAAGAATGAGAGCTCTAAAGCAGCATCTTGGGAATAGCTGATGTTTAACCTCAGTTTTTTTTATTGAGATTCAAACAGCATCTTGGAATCATTAAAATTTATTTGAGGAATGATTTTCTTCTGTATAATTTACTTAGCAGAGACTTTACTTGGTAAAAGGTTATTGTTGACATTAAATTAATATCTACTTGCAGACAATTATGCTCTCTGGAAAGTGTTAGTACTGTTGATAGTGAGTTCTTTACAGGTCAGGGCAATGAAAATGGATCTTCTTTATCTACACTAGGATTATCACCCTTTTCCATTCCAAGAATGCAAAACTCCAACTCATTCTTTGTTGCTGAAATAAATGCAACATTATTCTTTAATTCAGGTTTGGCTTTTGCCGGATTTTTGTTGGGTGATGCTCCATCTTCAGGAGCATTAAAATTATTGCCAGAAGGCCCTGCAGTAACTGAACCAACTTGAGTTCGAAATTCATCACTACTCTCTTGGATAGGATCCTGCAAAGAATTTGCTTTATCTTTGTCCATTACAGCTTGAACATCCTCAGCCAAATCTTTACGATTCTCCAACGAATTTGCTTTGTCTTTGTCGATTACAGCTTGACCATCATCCTCAGCCAAATCTTTAAAGGTTGTCTTTCCAGGTTCCTCATCTACACAAGATCCCGGAAAAAGTGATGCACAAAATTATAGATGAAAATCAGCAACAAACAAAGAGCCAGGTCGCAGTTATTGAAAAAATTTTAATTAACAAAATGTACAAAACTGAACAAATTTAAAAACCGTGATTGTCTAAGATCTCGAAGTCATACCACAAGCCTGGATATGCACAAATTAACACTAGAATCAATGGGTGTTTCTTATCATTTTGTTAATAACAGCCTTCGTTTATTTTCCTTTTTCTTCCTTAGCAGAAAAAGATCATATCCTGAAGATAGCAATAAATTTTCAAAGCAAAAGCATAAATCACCCTCTTTATCAACTTATCTACAATTATATGTTGCTGAAGAAAATGATAGGGTGTTGTGAATAGGTGGGCCTGTATAGTATAAAGCAGAGAACCAAGGAAAGTCATGTGAAGGGGAAGAAATTCCCCAATGAGTCTATCTATAGCTTCAACGAGTAAGAAATACTAGATAGACATGTAATAGAAACGTCTTCCATGCACACAATCAAAGGACAATAATAAACAATACCTGATAAGACAGAATTATTGTCAAACTGAATGATAAAAACTGGTAAACAGCAAAACAATGGATAATACCATCTTAAATGAAATCATCACGTGCAAGCTTGAATTTACTTCGAGCTCAAACAGATTTAATATGTTCGATTAAAAAAACAAGATAGTGAAAATAACTCTTGGTTCGTGGTTACCTCCTAGGAAAATCTCAATGCTTTCATACTGAATTTTAGATGCTTCTACAGAGACATCTTCTCCAACCTCCTTTTCCTGGATTCCGACATCTCTCTCATTTTGTCTCTCAACTAACACATACTTATCAGACTTCCAAAGACATTCGAGGAATACCACATGCTGCTTTGGCGGAAAGTATTCTCTAAAAACCTGCAATGGCACAAAATATTGAACATTTGCTTTCTAGATTTCATCTAAGAATTGTTATTAATGACTATCATAGATCACTAAGTGATGGGACCAACGCGTATATTTTGTCACAACAATCAGCACAAAGACAGTTATCTAGTATCAACAACAACAAACCCAGTGTAATCCCACAATAGTGTAATTCCACTATTTACTCTGAGAAACATCTTACTGTCCACCAACACACACGAAGCGCACACACATGTAGGGTTAACTTGGTTGTTGGGGGGGGAAGTGGGGTTGCTAGTAACACCTGGAGTGATTCTAAGCAGTTGACATTAAAGAAAACATGGTTTCCTGGAAAAGTACATGTCTGCGGTTTAATACACGAGAGGTAATTGGAAACACTTTGACTTAATGATTAAGAAATTGAAGTAGCTTTGAAATCTGTGCAGTCTATGCCATAAATATTGAGATAGACGCTAGGATATTTGAGGCCTTCAGAAGTCTGAAAAGAAAGTATTGCAATACATCATGCACACTGTAACCAGTAATCCATATAATAAGTAGCATGACCCTCATGAACTTTCTAACCATTTCTTGACCTTTAACAGAACTAATAAAACCAATCAAAAAAGCAAGTTAAAAAAAAAGGGAATAAAAGAAAGAAACAATTTCTTGCATTGCACCAGAAAAACATAGAGACAAGTTGCGAAGAATTTAACAACCTCAAATCCATCTTGTGTCAATCTTATGGCTTGTTCCCTCTGAGATAAAGAGGAGACACTGTTGAATACACAAACAACATCAAGAAGCATCTGCAATGAATAAAGCAGATTTGATTAGAATTTCATGTTCAATCACCGGACATCCTTAGCAAATTCGCTCAACATAAGCTTTTCACTTCCTCAAATATTGCATATTCCTAAAAGAGCAAAAATTCTCATGTTATTTACATGATCCCCATTCCCCTAGACTCTTGAATTAGATCAGTTACTCCAATTAAATAAGTTCCAGAAATTATCATGACTCCAGTATATAATACTAGAAACTAGAACTTCAACAAATTGAAAATTTGAAAGAACACAATCTATGTGCAGGACCTTTACTATTATAAGTACAACAACAACTACACCTTAGTACACAAGTTGGGGCAACCTCTACTATTATAAGTACAACTAAGAAAAGAGCATTTAAAATGATCAAAAAGTTTATTGTTAATGAGCGCATATACCACTTCACACGCAGAAAATGATAAAACTATCCCGAGAATACTTACTTGCTGAACTAGAACTCTTATTCGGGCGAGCAAAGCCAATATTGTCAACGAAAATCCCATAAAAAATGATCGTGCAAGAAGTGTTGATATCTCCCTGTCTACAGTTAAGGGTAAAAAACAATCGAGCATGGCAAACATTTTACATTGGAATTTGCATGAAAAAGCACATTGATCAAGTGTTACTTAAATGACGAGCAATCAGCACAAGATGAAAAATGAAGTCAACATACAAATGAGATGAAAACAGAACATATGAAATTACGAAGATATAGACAAAAAGATAGAAAAAGAGAAAGGAAGAAGGAGGTACAATTAATATCCACCTACACTAATTTAGCAAACCAGTAATTTTACGGGCAAATTAGCTGTGCAAAAAAGTCTAGTAGTTTGATGAACAGAAAAGGTTTACTAATATGTTAATAAGTATGCAATCACAATGATTCCAGACAAACTCTCCTTACTCCAATCACCTCCACACACCCCGAGAGCTATGAAAGAAAATGAACAACTTAAGCTCTTCCTATTACTTAAAGATGTAAAAAGTCTAACAGAAATCACCAATGGCCTTAAGGGCCATCAATTGGCATAAGTAAATCCTGTCCCATAATCAACATATCAAATGAAGTATTAGCATGCAAATAAGAAGCAAGAAGGATACGTAGCGGCCCTTAACATTGGCTCAACAATCTGCAGGAAAAGAATAAGTAAATTAAGAAGTACAACTGAATAAAATGATAACTTAAAGTTTTCCTTGTTCTGATATGATTCTTATTAAACACCGGCCAGTAGTTGTATGGAACAACAGTAATTATGCCTCAATCCCAAGCTAATTATCAGCTACACGAATTCTCACTATTTCATGTTGTTCCATTTAGACCCATCTCAATCCAATATTCAAAACTTTAGGTTCTCCAAATAGAAGTTCTCTACATTTTCTACTGGCAGATGTGAAAACTGAGGCGAACATCTCCCAGCTTCAAGTGATCATTTAAAGGCAGGGTACGAGTTGAAGTTGTTAATAGCATAGGCTGAGTTTGGCAAACCAATACCATGAGTAATCTTACAGACAAGGACGAATGGTTTTAGATGGAGAACAATAAGAAGTGAGAAAGAAAACAATGATACCTCTGGTAACAGGTGTGCGACCCCTAGAAGCCGCTCCAGAAAGTTATGTTTGCCACCATCACATCTTCTCCTCTTTAGGCTGAGACCCATGAAAAGTGAGGATGAAAAGTATAATATGACTAAATTTTCATGACATTTGCCATGACATAATATCCATTATAACAAATTTGCGGTTCATGACATTTGCCATGACATAATATCTATTATAACAAATTTGTGGATCATGACATTTGCCATGACATAATATCCATTATTAGGCCAAGGATTTCTTGCTATAAATAGAGGAGTTTCTCCTCATTTGAAAACACACAAATTCAAGAGCTTTTCACTCTTCTCTTTCTTTCTCCTCCTTTATTTCATTATAGAGTATTTTATAAGAGAGTAAGTGTTGGGAAACACTTGTGTGAACCCTTTCTTTGGAGTGATCTTGTGAGGTTATTCTCTTGGGGTATTTGGTAATTAGAGTATTTACTCTAATTTTGTACTCTCTTTTGGTATAGTGAAATTGCTTCTCTCCGCTTGTGGACGTAGGTCACCTTGACCGAACCACGTTAAATTTGTGTTTTCTTTATCTTCTTTAATTGTCGTTATTATCAACTTGCATTGTCTTTGTTATTATCATTATAACGTTGTTTGGCTAAATTCCGCACTACCCGGTTTTCCGATCCTAACAAATTGGTATCAGAGCCAGATCTAACCGGGTTAGTTTAAATAGCCAAAATGACTCTAATAAAGTCTTATGTTGAGAAATTTGACCGAAGTGCAAACTTCGGAATGTGGCAATTAAAGATGGAAGCTATCCTAATTCAGGATGGCTTAGATTTGGCACTGCAAGGAAGGAGAAGATGCCGGATAAAATGATGGACGGGGAGTTTGCCGTCATAGACAAAAAGGAAAAAGCAGGTATTATTTTAAATCTTTCAAATGAGGTTTTGCGTGAAGTTGCAGCAGAAAGCTCAGCCAAAGGCATATGGGAAAAGCTTAAAACCCTATATATAAAAAGAACATTAGAAAACAGGCTTTACCTAAAGCAAAAACTCTACACTTTTCGTATGGCTGAAGGTACCTCTATACTTACACATCTTGATACTTTTGATTCTCTTCTTATGGATTTAAGTAACATAGATGCTGAAATCAAAGATAAGGATCAAGCTGTGTTATTGCTTGTTTCCTTACTCCAGTCGTTTAAGCATATAAGAGATACTATGCTTTATGGAAAGGATAATATCTCTTATAAAAGATATCAAATCTATTTTGAAATCAAAAGAACAAATAGATAGAGATATTACTGGGGAAACTAGTGGGAACCAAGGGGAAGGCTTATTCATAAGAGGTATATCCAATAAGAAAGATTCAAGTAGTGAGAAACCTAAATCAAGGTCAAAATCCAGATACAGAAATGTCAAGTGCAAATATTGTTGAAAGGTCATATTATTTCTGAATGCTTTAAATTGAAAAACAAAGAAAAACATACAGAAAACAAAAATGAGCACAAAAATACTGACACAGCANTAAGAAAGGTCACATTATTTCTGAATGCTTTAAATTGAAAAACAAAGAAAAGCATACAGAAAAGAAAAATGAGCACAAAAATACTGACACTGCCGAAGCAAGTGTAGCTGCTGATGAGACTGAGGGAACTATTTTTTTAGCAACTAATAATAGTTTCAAATCTAACAATGAGTGAATTTTAGATTCAGGTTGTTCTTATCATATGTGTCCCAGTCAGGATTTATTTACCACATATGAATCTATTCGAGGTGGAGTTGCCTTGATGGGAAATAATGTTGCCTGTAAAGTAATTGGAAAAGGTACAATCCGAATCAAAATGCATGATGGTGTGGTGAGAACTCTCACCGATGTTAGACATGTTCCTGACTTGAAGAAAAATCTCATATGTTT